TATTATATTATTATATTATATATATTATTATTATATATATTATTACTATAGCAATAAAGTGCACGCATTTGGCTGTGAGGGGGCATGGGTGGGGTATAGGCGTGGAGGCACAGTGTAGGGTAGGGGCAGTGTAAAAGCAGAGCACGTGCAGGGGGCTGTATAGGGAGGAGTATAGCGCGTACGGAGGGATGGGGGGCGCGGGCAGAAGTGTGCTGCCTGCCTGGTGAATCCCGCTGGCTCGGGCGGCCCCAGCAACCTGGGCATGGAGTTCTTCCCGCGTGTCAGGCTCTGCCCTGCTAATTCCAGTTTAAGACACTGACGCTAATCCTGGTTGTGCTGTCCGAGGATCGCCACCCCAGGTCCTCTGCGTTGTTTCTTCATTAACTGTTTCCTCTAATTCCCCATCCCTCCTGCACCGACTCTGCTCATTTTCTGACTGTTCCTCTATTGTCTTTATTAGTTATTATATTTCTAGACCTTTTTTCCTGCCTGATGTCATTCAGCAGTGCCGGCTCTCCTTGACGATAAGTGCCTTACAGATGGGGGAGGCTTTTCCTTAAAGCCCTGACTCTCAGACCTGATTATATGACGCTGCTTTCATTTTAACGATTTGGTTTTATTATTGCATGGGGAGAAGCTTGAAAGGCTCAAAACCTGTGGAGAAATTAAAATAAAGTATCCTTATATTTTATTTGATGAACCTGCTAGTTAAATCTCCTCCACCATGTCATCTCCTGACTATTATTGGAGTTAGGCTTGCAAAGAAACTGCCAGTTGCCATGTGCGCTTTTAATTTAGCATCGCCATTCCCAAATAATCCCTTCATCTGCTAATAGATCTGCTTATTCCTTTTCCTCTCCCTCCTCTGGCCGCAGCACAGGGCTGGGGAGGAGGAGCCGTCCCCTCCCAGCTCTTCCCAGCCGACGTGGTGGCAGATTTCCCCACTGACACTGAGTTCCCGGGAATGACCAGATGCTCTGAGATGACTCCGCTTTACTTCATCCCCATAGAGAGATGCTACTAAATTTGCTTCTTTCCCTTTTTTTAGCTGATTTGGGCTGAAAACAAGAGGCTGAACAAGGCTACAGATGCAGTGGAGAAAAGGGGACCCTACATCATGAGCAAGCCTCCCTCCATTCATGCCAAGCTGCGTAAGTGATGCTCGGTGTCACCCCAGGGACTCTGCCAGGATTTGGGGAGTCATCTGCACCTCTTGCCCACGGCGGGAGTCACCAAAAGCCTTTTTATTCCTTGGTGGGATAAAACCATAAAAAACCCCATAAAAACCCATAGGTGCTGCCTATGGAAAGCACTGTAATGCCCCCATGCTCTCCCTAGGACCCACCTGCAATGCCCCCTGCCCCCAAAAAAAGACCCTTGGATATTTTTAGCTCTGCCTCTGTGCTTGGCTTTCAGAGAGGCAGCGCGAGCTGGCGAAGGCAGCACTGCGAAGGCAGGGGCTGCTGGGGGGACCCGCGCCGCACCAGCCGAAGCTGGCAGCTAAAAGGTCTGATCCCATTTTTCTTTTCCCAAGATGTAGTTCTCACATTCCTTGGGGAGACCGGGAAACTTGGAGGATTGAAAAATGAGTTTGGGACTTCAGTCTGCTGGCTCTGTTGTGGCCAGCAAGCATCCAATATAATAAAAGATAGCACTTTTCCTGCAAAAGTTAAGAGTTGCTCTAGCAGGGGCTGTGCTCCTTCTTCTCTTTGTTTTGGGAATGCTTTGGTGTTAAGGATTTAATTGGGTAGCCTAGAGCTTAGATGGAGTTTACTCTTAGCTGGTGGTAGCCCTGGACAATGCCTGGGTGCAGGGGACATTCAGGACCAGGATTCCTGCCCTGGCTCCTCAGCCCGTCAGCTCTGTGGCTGCATTTCCATACCAAAGTGTCTTACGGGCTCGTTCCTCTGCTTTCTGGCAGGTCAGTGAAGTTTAACAAGGGCTACACGGCGCTCAGCCAGACGGCGGATGAAAACCTGGTCTCCCTCGATTCGGACAGGTGGGGACTGGGTGAATATCCCAGGATTTTGGGTGGAGGGTGTTGCAGGCTCAGAGCTGGCTTTTTTTGGGGATTGATTTTCCTCGTCACTTGTAGAGCATCCCCAATGGCACTGGGCACTTCTCAGCAGCCAAACGCTCCTATTGTCCCAAATTTAACAAATCCCTTGGTGTTACGCTGCTGGCTCCCTTTCTCCCCCCACTGAGATTCCCTTGTCTGTATCCCAAGCAAAGACACTCCTTCCCAGCTGGCTCTGACCGTTTCCTTCCTCTCTTAGTGATGGGGAGCTGGGATCCAGATGTTCCTCAGGCTACTCCTCCGCCGAGGCAAGTCCAGGGGTTTCACTCCGACTGCGCGGTCCTCGTGGGTTCCCTTGCCCCCCTTACACCTCGGGGTCTGTTTAGGGGCTGAAATGAAGCATCACCCTATGGGGTGTCTATGTATGTGTCCATCCAGCAGAGCTCTGCTTTGCAAACTGCTGCCTCTGCTGCCCGATACATTTAAGCCATGCATAAATCTCCCTTTTGCAAGCCCCAGCTGGCCGTCACTGCTTCACCCTTTGCACCTAAAGCATCGTCTACCCCCAGACCCTACAGCGGGGCAGCTGTTCAGCTCTATCATACAGGGGCGTCGCAGCCTGCGGGGTGTTTTGGGGTGCATGGGGTGTGTGTCGGGGTGTTGCAGCCCAGGAAAAGCTCTTTGGTCTTTTGCTTTGCTCTGCTCTGGTTGTGCTGCTTTTCCCCATGCAAAGGCACTGGAGGGAGGATGCGATGCCGTTCTTGCTCGCAGTCCTTCCCTTTGCAAGCCCTGGGACCTAAATTTTAACTAAACTGGGACTAATTTTAACCAGCTCAGCCTCCTTTGTTCGCCCCCCCCCCCCAGCAGGTGAACCAGGACCTGAGCCGGCAGCTGCTGCAGGATGGGTACCACCTTGACGAGGTCCCCGATGATGAAGATCTGGATCTCATCCCCCCAAAACCTGTCGCTTCTTCTTCTTGCCCCTGCTGTTTCGGAGAAAATCTTTCCTGTGTGATTCAGTAGATGCCGCTCGGCCGGGGCTGTGCAAGAACAGGTCAAAAGCCAGCACTTTCTCTGTCCCGTGGGATGGCTGTTGGTGTCCGTGTCCCATACCAGGACAGTGACACAAAGACTGAATGATGCTGTGATGCTGCTTGTGGTGAGCAGCAACAGCCAACCAACTCCAAAGGACCTTTCGTTACACTCAGCAATATCAGGGAGGGGTGGCACAGTGACGTTTAGGTGGCCTGGATGGGACCTGTCGCCTGGCTGGGGTGGGGAGGGAGGACAGGCAGAGCCCAGGCACCTCCATGGGGGTATAAAGGGAAGGAGTTGGGAGGTGCAGCAGCAAATGCTCTTTGGTTTGCCTGACCTCCTCTTTTCCTCCTTTAATTGGCCACGTCGAGGATTAGGACCTGGCCCTGGACATGGGTTGCCCTCCCCAGCCCTCCCTAATGAAGGGGTGGTTGATGGTGGGGTCAAACTGCCATGGTGTGGGACCAGGCTGGGAAGCCCTGAGACTCCTTTTCTATTTATTTTCACTTTAGTCACCCCTTCTCCCTGGCAGGCTGAGGCCAAGCCAGTGAGGTTAGGGTCGGCTGGCAGAGAGCTGCTTCATTTACCTATCTCGTGCTGCTTGCAATTAATTGCTGCCAGGTTTCCTCCTCCCAAAGCCTGGGCTGACCTGAACCAAAGATTGCTGTGCTGGTGGTGAAGATAAGATGGGGAGAAATCCAACGGAGCAGATTGGGGCAGGCTGCTGAGCTTTAAGCATCTGCATTTGTTATATCCACCAGCAGCTGCCGCTGGGGCTGGGACCTCCCTGCTTTCTGCCTCTCGAGGGACCCGTTAAGTCCATCGGTTCTGGGTTTAGAGCTAGTGGCTTGTTCCATTTCTCCCCAAAGCTGCTTAGATGCAGGCGAGGGGCAGCGCATAACCCCTGCACCAGCTCTGCACAGGTCCCTCTGGGTGCAGATTTGGGGTGGCTGGGGAGTTTACCTGCTGTGAACCTTAATAGCTGCCTTAAATCATGGTCCTGCTGTACTACATAGAGGACAATCAGCTTCTTATAAAGGAACCTTATTTAAATATTTGATGTCTAGAGACCTGAACTGTTTTGTTTTGTTTTGGGTTTTTTTGTATTGTTGAAGGGAGCACTCAATAAACTGGATCTCATTACTCAGAGTCTGTATTGGTGCTGTGGTGGGGGGCTCAGCCCTGGTCCCCAGCAGCAGCCCCACTCGGGAGGGCTCCTTCTCTGACCCTGGCGCATTTTCAGAGCAATCTGGTTTCCCTCGGTACATTTTACCCCATTGTCCTGTTTCCCTGCGGAGCTGCCGTGTCGCCTGGGCTGATGCTGCCATGGGGTGATGCGGGGAAGGTCGCAGCCGGTGCTGGGGGGATGCCGAAGCTGCCGCCAGCCTCCCTC